GTGTTCTTCAGCAGGAGATCTGATATGCCTTATCGCTACACAACGTCTCTGAAGGAGCTAAGCTACAAGACTGGAGTGTATGAGGTGAGCTCCATGAACACACACACCAGCAGCAGCAGCCGCAGCTCCGGTCCATCGCAGGTGATTTATGCATGTCTCTGTCTCTCTCTCAGGTGTATGACGTGTTTTCGGAGCAGCTCTTGCCTCAGATGAAGGACAGCACAGAGTTTGTGGTGTCTATTAATCCATCCGGTGCGGTCATGTGGTACGTCAATCCTGTAGCCGAGTGGCGGAAGGAGGCGGAGCCTGTGCGGTTCAGCGAGAAGCTGATTGGGCCAAAGTTCCACCAGCATGCTAATGAGGCCGACACCCCTCTGGTGCTTTAAGCTCCACCCATCAAGAACGAACGACGCACTCAGGGACATTCAGCCAATTGGCAATCACTTAATCTCCTTTTTAAACATTTTCTTGTGTGATTTTTTTAAATAGGTCTGTTTCTACTGAATGATATTTCAACTATCCGAATGAATTGCTATTTTTGGATGGAACTGAATGTTTTTGCACCGACTGACTTTCTTAAGACGCCTGTTAGTGACATCTAATTTGTGCACATTCAAGTTTGAAGCAAGTATGAATCAAGATGTTCAAATTATGATGCTTTTGTTGAGGTGTCTGTATGTATGAGTGTGTAAGAGCAAAAAACAACTTTGTCAGTCGCTCGCCTTTGGGCGTTATCGATTCTGGTTCTGAACTAGGTTAGAAACGCATTAAAAATCACAATACATTTTCATAGTAATAATAAGATAATTTACACTGTTCCAAATTACACTTTTTCTGAACAATTACATGTTTCTGAACATTCCTGATGACGTTTATTCTCGTAAATTAGTTTACTTGTGTTATTTTGACAATACACCTGAAAGATTTCATAACTTTGTCACTTTTAATGCGCTAAAATCAAATAAATTGTTGTAAAAGCTGCTGCTGTAGATGTGCTTCATGTTTCTGACCAACACACCTTAAATACACTTATATTTAAAGTAAAAAAAAATTATATATATATAGAATTTTTGAAGTCTCCTTTTCTGAAGCACTTGTAACAGCGACACCTGCTGGACCAAAGCTGTCAATACAACGAGAACACAAACACAAACGTGTGGAATTAATACTCCGATATATTAAAGACCAGTGATAATGACACCTTTCACAAAGAAATAGAGAATGTTTTCATGAACGTGCAATAGAATCAAATCATTAAATATGAAGCATGTGTGTCATTAATTAAATGGTGGTGCTTGTTTCATGTATTTTATGAGAAGACAGCTAATCAGGCCAGTTGAAAGACAATTATCTATCACCCTAATACACACGTGTTCGTCATTAAAGGGATAGTTCACCCAAAAATGAAAATGAGCCCATGCTTTACTCACCCTCAAGGGCAAGGCATCCTAGCGGTATATGACTTTCTTCTTTCAGATGAATTCAATCGGAGTTATATTAAAAAACGTCCTGGCTCTACCAAGCTTTATAATGGCAGTGAATGGGTGTTTGTGTTCAACAGTCCAAAAGAAGTCCAATAAAGCGCATCCATCCGTGATAAACGTGCCTCACACAGCTCCAGGACGTGAATAAAGGTCTTCTGTAGCGAATCCATGCATTTGTGCAAGAAAAATATCCATATTTAAAACAGGAGGCCTTTATTCACCCCTGACTCACGTGATTCGGCCAGTTCGATACCGATTCACTGATTCAAAACAACAGATTAATGGTTTCGTACCTTCCTGCAGCAGTGTTTCGAAAGCATCGATTAACCATTTCTAGTTAAACTTTCAGTTTAAACTAAAGTCTTGAAGGTATCGGTGGATACTTTTGAAGCACTTTGTGAATCATTTGCTTCGAACCAACGTCACGTGACTTGATTCGAAATGTTACTGTTTGGCCATCAGCGCTGTCTATGGGTTTTACCTGATCTCGGAATAGTTTGATACATTTGTTGACATTTTTAATTTGAAGCATTTATGCAATTAAAAGAAAGACAGGTTAGTAGTATCTTACTCTCCTGTCTAGACAAGTCCTCCATAAAACAAACAAAACAAGCCCTGCAAATTAATAAACAAACAGATATTATACACTTCTTATTTAATGTCATTCGATGGCTTGGTAATTGCATTTAATATATTACACTTTCAATAAAACATTTGCAATGGGTTTGTAAAAGCTGTTTTCATGCATGTTTTTGTTGCATGATTCAGTTTTGAGCGCGTGGCGTCTCGAGTGATTCGAAACAGTGAACAGTGAGTCGCAAAATGGTTCAATTGATTCAAAGCTTCGAAATGATTAATTTCTCCCATCAACTGTGCTTGCAGGCATTTTGTTTCCTAAACCTACAGCGCACTTCATATGGTTTTACCATAATACTTAATAAAGTTCAGAACTAAAAACAACGTGTGTTTTTAATTACAAATAGACACTCCCGCCTAAATCAGGCGTCATCCGACTAATCAAACAAACAGACCAATGGCTGTCTGGAACACTCCTAAGAATTTTGAAATTGCTACACTAAAACGTTGCAAACTATGAGATTTATGATTCTCACAACTATAACGTTCACATAGACACTCACCTGTTCATCCTCGGAAACACGCATGCGCGACCTGCCGCCATATTTGATCACGTGCGCTCACTTCTAAATCAGTTCCAGCCAATTCAAATGGTCCAATCACGCTCTATTATTGCTTTATTTGCTCTAACATAATGACATTTTGGCAATGCTGGATTTATGAGTTTATTTAACGATGTGTTTTAAGTTTTTGTTCTGATATATGTGTATTTTCAGTATAGCCTACATGTGTTTCTCCTTGTTCATCCATTGTTCAGCAATAAAATTACAAAATGACAGTAATATATCAGGAAAGAGATGCTTCAAGAGAGCACACTGTGAAAACTACAACAAGAGACCACTTGAAAAGTTTCTCTGGATTTACTTTTGAGTAAAATGTTAATATTTGTTTTATTCTATTGAGGTCTGGTAATATTATCTTCCAAATTCAACATAAAAATAGTCCTGTAGAGCATGTTTTTTTTCTTAAGAAAATGACAACTGGTCAAAATATTAACAAAGTGTTTTCATTTGTTGCGACTGAAAATCAGGGTTATTCCATCAAATATTGATTTCTGAACTCTTCTTTAGTTAAAACATTGGTATTGTGTCATCTATAAATGAATATAAACGTCTGAAAACATGGCATCATGAACATGAAGAAATGTCATCAATAGTTTAGAGAATAAATCAAAAAGTACATTTTTACTCAAACACATCTTCAGAGAAACAGAGTTTTCAAGTGGTCTCCTAGTTTTTTCCAGAGCTGTATGTTTTTCCTCAGTATTTTTGTCTTAATTTTCAGTGTAAATATCTAAACATTTTTTTAATCAAGACACATCTACCGGAGAAGCAAAATGACTGAAGATATTAGGTGTTGTTTTCTGAAAAAATGATCAAAATCAAGTGATTTTAAGCTTAAAACAAGAACAAATATCTGCTGACGAGGTCAGAGAAAGAATTTTTTTTGACCCCATTGGCACATATTTTTGTATGCATTTAATATGCATTTTTAGCCTTTTTGCATCCAATTATTGCAAAAGATACACACAGCATACACGCAAGAAGAGGAACAGCAGTCTGCTTGAAGCTCATGTGGACTGAGGTCTACAGACGTCTTTTATTCTTCACACAAAACGACTCATTTCCAGCTCATAAGAACACGTACTCAAACGTTTATTTTTTCCCAAATGAACACGCATTAAACTCGTGGTGGCGACTGTGGATTGCTCGGCTACTTGAAGTCACACGATACACAAGAATGGCACCAAAAGACAAACGAGATTTGACACAAACGAAAGAAAACCCATCAAGTGAAGCCCGTTCTGGAGAGAGAGTTTCGATCAGTTCATCCAACACAATACAGAGTTGCTTTAGTTTCAGTATTTACAGCTCGACGCTTAGTTGATATTACATCTCTGCATCTGTAAAGACGTTTGTGAGCTCACTGGTGTGTCTGACGGAACAGAACACTCTTGAGCTGGAGTCTAAACCTAAAGATGAGACTAATCTCGCGTCTGTCAGTTTGCAGCATGCATCGTTCAGCGAACACAACGGGGATTCAGCGTCAGATTCAGCAGCAGCGAGCGATTCGGTCCAAACTGTGCAAACGCCGCTCCAGTGAACATCCAGACGCTTGCAGATGAAGCCCAGCTTTAGCAGAAATCACAGAAGCGCAGCCTCTCTACACACAGCAACACATATGATCGTCTGCATCTGTCCTTTATACCCAAAGCAGATGGTCTGTGTGTGGCAGTGATCAAAGGCCGTCAGGTTCGAACTGTGTTTACATGTGCATGCCAACAGGAGGATCCGGTTCTTTGATCTCCTCTGGAGACGTAGAAACTAACACTAGTACAGACAGAGTGCGATATAAACTCACGAGACACACTTTACACGCATCCAGATGATCCTGAGATTCACACACTACAGACGAGATGCGGACGGAATCTGCGGAGAAGGGAGAACGCGGCAGCTCGTTTAAGGCATCGGATTGGTTCCGTCGTTCGTCCGCTAAATAAGAGCTTGTATGGGAGTAAATGAGTGAAGGGTTGTCCTCCGCGGCCGCCGCTCGGTTGGGTTTTGGTGTCGATGTAGCACGTCTGTCAACACTGGTATGAGGAGCGTCGGACCTGGAGGAAAACAGAGCGAACACTAAAACCAAAATCAGCATTTGTGTTACTTGACATATAATATTAAATGAAATAAAATATGTAAAAACATTTTTTTCCCAGCTAGATGCACAGGCATCATTTTTCATTTTCATTTAGTTTAACTTGATGCACTAAAATAACACTAAAACTGAAATAAAAATCGAGAGCATCCATCCTTTTATCCAACCACCCACCCATCCATTCACCCATCTATCCATCAATCCATCCATCCATCAATCAATCATCCATCCAT